AATGCCTCTGTACAACACAGTGGAGAGTAATGCCTCTGTACAACACAGTGGAGAGAGTAAAGCATCTGTACAGCACAGTGGAGAGAGTAATGCCTCTGTACAACACAGTGGAGAGAGTAAAGCCTCTGTACAACACAGTGGAGAGAGTAAAGCCTCTGTACAACACAGTGGGGAGGGTAAAGCCTCTGTACAACACAGTGGAGAGAGTAATGCCTCTGTACAACACAGTAGAGAGTAATGCCTCTGTACAACACAGTGGAGAGATTAAAGCCTCTGTACAACAGAGACGAGAGAGTGGAGAGAGTAATGCCTCTGTACAACACAGTGGAGAGTAATGCCTCTGTACAACACAGTGGAGAGAGTAATGCCTCTGTACAACACAGTGGAGAGAGTAATGCCTCTGTACAACACAGTGGAGAGAGTAATGCCTCTGTACAACACAGTGGAGAGAGTAATGCCTCTGTACAACACAGTGGAGAGAGTAATGCCTCTGTACAACACAGTGGAGAGAGTAATGCCTCTGTACAACACAGTGGAGAGAGTAATGCCTCTGTACAACACAGTGGAGAGAGTAATGCCTCTGTACAACACAGTGGAGAGAGTAATGCCTCTGTACAACACAGTGGAGAGAGTAATGCCTCTGTACAACACAGTGGAGAGAGTAATGCCTCTGTACAACACAGTGGAGAGTTTATTGCCTCTGTACAACACAGTGGAGAGAGTAATGCCTCTGTACAACACAGTGCAGAGAGTAATGCCTCTGTACAACACAGTGGAGAGGGTAATGCCTCTGTACAACACAGTGGAGAGGGTAATGCCTCGGTACAGCTCAATGGAGAGTAATGCCTCTGTACAACACAGTGGAGAGAGTAATGCCTCTGTACAACACAGTGGAGAGAGTAATGCCTCTGTACAACACAGTGGAGAGAGTAATGCCTCTGTACAACACAGTGGAGAGTGAAGCCTCTGTACAACACAGTGGAGAGTGAAGCCTCTGTACAACACAGACGAGAGAGTAAAGCCTCTGTACAACACAGTGGAGAGTAAAGCCTCTGTACAACACAGTGGAGAGAGTAATGCCTCTGTACAACACAGTGGAGAGTAATGCCTCTGTACAACACAGTGGAGAGAGTAATGCCTCTGTACAACACAGTGGAGAGAGTAATGCCTCTGTACAACACAGTGGAGAGAGTAATGCCTCTGTACAACACAGTGGAGAGTAAAGCCTCTGTACAACACAGTGGAGAGTAAAGCCTCTGTACAACACAGTGGAGAGTAAAGCCTCTGTACAACACAGTGGAGAGAGTAATGCCTCTGTACAACAACACAGTGGAGAGAGTAAAGCCTCTGTACAACACAGTGGAGAGAGTAAAGCCTCTGTACAACACAGTGGAGAGTAATGCCTCTGTACAACACAGTGGAGAGAGTAATGCCTCTGTACAACACAGTGGAGAGTAATGCCTCTGTACAACACAGTGGAGAGTAATGCCACTGTACAACACAGTGGAGAGAGATTAATGCCAGTGTACAACACAGTGGAGAGAGTAATGCCTCTGTACAACACAGTGGAGAGTAATGCCTCTGTACAACACAGTGGAGAGAGTAATGCCTCTGTACAACACAGTGGAGAGAGTAATGCCACTGTACAACACAGTGGAGAGAGTAATGCCACTGTACAACACAGTGGAGAGAGTAAAGCCTCTGTACAACACAGTGGAGAGAGTAATGCCTCTGTACAACACAGTGGAGAGAGTAATGCCACTGTACAACACAGTGGAGAGAGTAATGCCTCTGTACAACACAGTGGAGAGTAATGCCTCTGTACAACACAGTGGAGAGAGTAATGCCTCTGTACAACACAGTGGAGAGAGTAATGCCTCTGTACAACACAGTGGAGAGTAATGCCTCTGTACAACACAGTGGAGAGGGTAATGCCTCGGTACAGCACAGTGGAGAGTAATGCCTCTGTACAACACAGTGGAGAGAGTAATGCCACTGCACAACACAGTGGAGAGTAATGCCAATGTACAACACAGTGGAGAGAGTAATGCCTCTGTACAACACAGTGCAGAGAGTAATGCCTCTGTACAACACAGTGGAGAGAGTAATGCCTCTGTACAACACAGTGGAGAGAGTAATGCCACTGTACAACACAGTGGAGAGTAATGCCACTGTACAACACAGTGGAGAGAGTAATGCCAGTGTACAACACAGTGGAGAGAGTAATGCCACTGTACAACACAGTGGAGAGAGTAATGCCTCTGTACAACACAGTGGGGAGAGTAATGCCTCTGTACAGCACAGTGGAGAGGGTAATGCCACTGTACAACACAGTGGGAAAAGTAAAGCCACTGAGCAACACAGTGGAGAGAGTGGAGAGAGTAATGCCACTGTACAACACAGACGAGAGAGTAATGCCACTGCACAACACAGTGGAGAGAGTAATGCCACTGTACAACACAGTAGGGAGAGTAATGCCACTGTTCATCACAGTGGAGAGAGTAATGCCACTGTACAACACAGTGGAGAAAGTACAATATGTGTTGATATATTGAAAGGCACGTCATTTTCATCAGCAATGATAGACAAAGCAGTTCCTAGAAATGTTTGAAAATATTTTTTGACATACGAGTAGAGCAAAACGAAAATTTGAAAAAAATGACAGCTTTATGCATTTGAACATCACTAGGAAAACATTAATGTGAGACTTATTTCAACAAAACTACCATGAAATACTTTATTCAAATTTCGAAAGATAAATTAATGTACTAATTTGACCGCTGTTTGGTTTGCTTTCATATTGCTTAAATTCCTATCAACATTTATGGTCATTCAAATAAAGGTCTCTCTTTATGCAAGGTGGGTGCATGCGTTGGGTGTGTTGAATAAGTGGTGTGTCTTGACCAACAGACATAACTTAGAGTCTCCCCTACAAGGTTGAACACTCAGTAGAGACAGATGCAAGGCATTGACAAGCACCAAGAAAAAATAGTTATTTAGAAAAAAAGAAATGATACCTTGCCGCTTTCTGCGATCATGCAATAGGGTCAGCTGGTGTATTGGTAGACACAATGGATGATATTGTGACCGGAGTTCTCTCCTAGTATTACAGTCCGGCCGAGAAGGTGTTGGGTATGTACGAATACACGAGAATATAAATATTCGCAAGCATTGCGTTTGCATTTATGAAACACTATAATCCTATAGAGAAATATTTGACTTCCCTTAAGTTGTATACAATGAAACGAAGTTTTTTATTTGCAACATAATCAAGATGTGTTGTCACCAGTCACGAAAACAACATTTTTGTAAACAGATTTTGCAATCTAAAATTTATTCTTTTAATACCAAAAGATCGGAAAGACTCATACGCTTACAAATTCTGCAAATGAATTAAAAAATTTCTTTACCGGTATTTCCAGAAACTATTGAATTATGCTTAAAAATTGTAATCATCTCTATTTTTCTCATTTGTTAATCTGCAACATATTTGATTTCTTTTTAAATGAAGGTATTTCTGTTTCCAAATGTCACCTTAAAGCAATAGTAAAATACAGCCCTCCACAGATCTGTGTACGGTGCAGTAACACTAGTGTGTATTTATAATGTTCATCGATATTCTCTGGTATGTTTCCGCATATTCTTTCATTATTTTATCATTGTATGATAGTAACGAATGCAGAACGTCATGATTATGAGTCATCCCTTTGGCATTCATATTGACAATAAATGCAACATGATTATACACATGATCACGTGTTTTGATATCTATATTATCACATCTTTTTTGCGGCTTCGTTAGTCATTAATCGATCGGAAAGTCATCATGTAGACAATGACCTTACTTTATGATTTAGAAATAGCAAAACAAAATAGCTGCTTCCTTTTGATCTCGACATTATGACATAAAAACCTGTCGAAATTGATATTTTCTGATGAATTTGATAAAATCTATCCTACATTTGTTTACTTTTTGTATGAGATTTTAGCAAACTAGTCTCGAAATTTAATTTAGACTTTTGCTCGCTAATAAAAACTTCGTTTCATAATATGTGGTATGAAATGGAAACTAATTTAAGATCATATATGCACATATCATAGTTTTATTTATTTATTTATTCATTTATTTATCTATTTATTTATTTATCTATTGTATGTCTGTATACATATACAGCAAGAGATTCGGGAAAATCATCAGCATGTCTCTATACAATCGATACACAGATGCATTTGGCGACACTGGGGTAGACGTACAAGGTTTGTTTTTAAAATGTAGGTCAAATGATATCATGATGACGTCATGATGCTGTCACGTGATATCAAATAAGTTCTCATAGGAAAATATTGAAATGTATTAGTAATCAAATTATCACTTATGAACAGTAGTAAATTGGGAATAGGTATGTATTTTCGGATAATATCATTATTTGATTGTTTTTTAAGAAACAAGTAGAACCATTTTCTCTGGACATAGCAAACTGGTTTAATATCATTCATAGTACACAACCGATAATTATTTCATATTTACAGCAAAATAGAGCATTTGATTTTGACTGTCCTATTATCAACGCCACCATCTTAAAATATATAACATTGCATGAATTGAAATATTTATGACGTCACATTTGCAATTTAAAAAATAACAATCCATAGAGATTAAACTCTATATATATTACACGAACAGTCACTGCATAACACTCGAATCAAATAAAACGATAATTTTGGACATAGTTATGAAATATCACATCTAATTATCAATTTCAATAGCAGATCAGCTTAGGGAATCACTTAGTTTTTGTCTTCAAAAATGTAATTTATATACAGGTATTGAAAAGTTACAAAAGGTAGTATAACCTTTACCCAGTTGATCCTTTCTTAAATCATGAATATAACCTTAATTCCAAATATTAGCAATTTTTGAAAAAAATATAGAGGTGACAGATTTTAGCATCAGTCAATTAACTAGCTAGCTACAAACTTGAAGGAGCTCGGACAAACTTTTATCTACTTTCAATATCGGCCCGTTCACGAATTCCATTACAACCATTTATTTCAGTTTTGCCATTAATGTCAACTTTTCCATTTGTGTTTGTTTTTCCATTTAAATGATTCATCTCCATTTTGCTTTCAGATTGTTCGGTCGGACTCTCGTCACTGTTGCTGTCCGGTTTGATATTCACATGGACAAGTAAGATAATGATGATCATTATTGTATACAAGCCCGCCGCCAATAGAAAAGCGAAACCAGGAAATATATCGAGGGTAGATCCATACAGATAAGTAAAGACGACAGCTAGGAACTTAGCCGCAGTTTCACCACTTCCCAATAAAGAGAACATCTTTCCTACTTCGTCTTCTTGCACCATTTTACTGAGAAGAGACCTAACGGGAGAATTGATTATCCCACCGAAACTTCCTATCACAACGGCAAGCCATACCATCCAAGTCTCGTTGCTCCACGCCATAATTACGAACCGGATGCAAGCGCACGAGAGACCTATGATGCTGATCGAAAGGTCAGAGAACTTCAATATATTTGATAGTATTGGTAGAAAGACTAGTAAGATAAACCCCATTGCTGCATTGTCAAGTGCTGATAGGTACCCAAACCATGATGTAGGCCAGCTAAGAGGTGACTTCTCCGTGAAAAGAAGAGTGACGTCAGTGAGTCCTGTTCGACATGTCTGATGGAGGAAAAGAACAACAAACAGAGATATGATAAAACGTCTCGTGCTTCCTGCACGTGACTTTGTGATGACTTGCACAGATTCCATAACGTTTTTACCTTTACAAAATGCTTTACAAGGAAACAAATCTCTCTTATCGCCGACATTTACAGTCTCGCGAAGAGTAACGAGAGTTAAAAGCACCACTAGAGCGTTCATGAATGAAACACAACAGTATGACGTCAGAATATTTGTACTATCAATGAGAAGTCCGCCGATTAGAGAACCTATGAACATTCCAATAAACTGCATAGCGGCAATCGTTCCTAGTCGCTTTGTCCGCCTGTCCGTTGCTGTGATGTCCACTACGTAACTACTGACGGCCATACTGACCATCGCAGTCTTGCCAAAGCATCCATGTATCACTGATCCCACGAGGAAACAAGCGATAGATCCATCATACGCCATATTTGCGGCCATATATAATAAGACGGCAAACGTTGTACCAAGACTCGGCATTACCATTGGTAGTTTCCGTCCATATTTATCGCTCCAGGCGCCACAGAACATGCCTAGCACGAGTGCAGGCAGGTTGGTGATGATTTTGTGTAAAATCATGTATGTAGTGGCTTGTTTTTGTACTATATCTTCAATATCTACATTGTCCTCGATATGCCGACAGCTATGGATGCGGTTTGGATACATGCTGTAGCAGACGATTTGTGGAACGTTGGGTCGAAGAACGGCGTCTAAAAGAGCATCCCCAATACTGTAGATCAGGAAGATGAAATCAACCTTACAGTCGCATAAACACTCCTTGATGTAATAATACAACGATATCGGATTAAAATCACGGAATTTTGAAATTAAATTTGATCGGGAAGGCAT